AGAGACCCAAATCAATTTGGAATTACAGCATGTCAAATTTACATGAGGGTGTCAGCTTTTCTTTCTTTTTCTTTTGGTGAGATAAATTGGAAAAGATTTGCAGCTTTTCTTTAGATCTATTGGAGTCATTTTAAATATTTTTAAGTTGGTTGCACTTTATTTCCCTCGTTTCTCTAAGTCATCTTAACAAGTGGCTCCATCGGGTAGTGCTTTGCTCAGCAAATGAAGCGGCACTGGTTTGATTCCACCTGAAGACACAAGTCCCTTTGGGGTTGTAACCGTTGTAAAAATCAAAAATGTGACGCTTGCGGCTGTGACAAGAGAGCAGCTGAAAATACATTCTTCCCCTCTAAAGCACCCTGACACTTTGTCACATTGATTTTTATACTGCTGTGAATAAGGACAAATATTTGTTCATGCATAGGAGGCTCTGTGGTACAATGGTTGTCATGTTCATCTTACACACAAAAGGTCCTTCAGGACTGAAACACAAACCCAACCTCTGTACACAAGCAAAAGTACATACCAGTACATTTCTCTTAAAGGAACAGATAAATGAGTTCTCTTATAAAGGAACAGATAAAGTTACCTTTAGTTGAGGATTATTTTATTTTGGAAAAATCTGGAAAATTTGACTTCTTTTCTCACATTTGATGTAAGGTAGAATACAAGCCTACAAATGGCAACTGATTGACAAAACCAAATCAGCGCTTTAATAAAACATTCAGAGGTTCATAATTAAAGAATAGACAACACAAAATTAGTGAAACAATTAGTTGAATTAAAGATAATTACATGGCAACCACTTTGATAATCATTTCAACGCAGCTTCCAGCCTCTCAAATGTCTTTAATTATAAGATTTGCAGCTTTTCATTGTACCCGTGTGCGTGTGTGTGTGGTAGATGTGTCTTTTCTGCCCCATTTCTCTAAAGCATCTTAACAGTTAGACTATTTTTGTCCCCCTGTGAATGGGGCCCCTGGATTAGATTAAGTCTTCACTTAAAGAAAAAAAAGACACATTGTTTGACTCTGGAGTGGATTCCATCCACAGTTAAAAGACGATTTTAAGAGAAAGTGCATGTTGGAAATGTCAACACACATTTGCATCTGTGGATTATGTTTATATGAGAAAAAGACTATATTAACTTTAATGTTTACCTTTAGCTGCACTGCAGTATTTAGACTTGTTAAACCCTGACTACAGTCATATGGAAAAAAAACTCAAAGGAAGTAATTAAGATTTTATTTATGTAGCACGAAAAAGGCAAAGTGCAACAAAAATGCTAAAACATAGAAACAAAAAGTTACCCAAAAGCAAGTTTAAAAAGCTGCTTTTTAACAGAAAGCACAGACCTCACGCTCAGACAGAGAAGGTTCCACAGGGTCTCAGGGTCACTGTTGCAAAAGCTCCGTCCTATTTTAGTTCTCAGCTTTGTATGTTGCAAAGCCAGCAGGCCCTGATCACATGACCTCAGGGACCTGCTGGGGTTGCACGATGATGCCCATCCCTGCAGCGCTTTAAAAGGCAAAACCAGAATCCTATAGTGGACTCTCCAGATGATGGGGAGCCAGTGCAGCAGATTTAACTGGGGTGTGACATTTGAATACGAAGGAGACTTAGTGAGAACAATTTTACTTGTTACCTTTGCTTCCTCTGGCAGTTTGCTATAGTTTCGATTTAGTTAACTGTGTCAAAATGTTTTGTTTCCCTTTAAAAAAATTTATCACTTTAAGTGTTGCTTTTAGTCTTTTTATAATATGGGGATATTAGTGAGGGGCAGACTGGGGTTTTAAATCAGGGAAACACTCCAGACAGCACATTGTGGAGGCAGTTAACTCAGCCTCAGAAAAAAGGGAAAATGCCCACATTATGATGAGCTCCATGTGGGAGGCTTCCTCCCCCTGTGTAATTCAGGTGAGGTGATTACCTTCTTCTGCTGTATCTCCTCCTCAGCCAGCACCGTGTCGTGCCCTTTGTGCTCGTCGGTCAGACACAGCGAGCAGATGCAGCGCTTGTCGGTCCGGCAGTAGACCTCGAGCAGCTTGTCATGTCGCGGACAAATGGTCTCCTGGAGCCGCTTGGAGGCAGCCACCAGCTTGTGTTTCTTGAAGGCTGAGGACTCGTAGTGAGGCCGGACGTGATCGTCGCAGTACGACGCCAGACAAACCAGGCAGGAGCTGACCGCTTTGCTCTTCAACCCGATGCAGACGTCACACTCCACGTCGCCTGCTTCGGCAAAAGTTCGGCCAGCTGTCGGTGCCGCGGCGTCCTGGAGTGTCGTGTTCTTAAATATCTCCACCACGTCGGCCAGAATGGTGTTCCTGGCGAGCAGCGGCCTCGGGTTGAAGTTCTGTCGGCACTGCGGACAGACATAAACCCCGAGGTAGTCGTCCTGGTCCCAGTAGTTCTGGATGCAGCCCGAGCAGTAGCTGTGTCCGCACGGTATAGTAACCGGGTCCTTCAGCACGTCCAGACAGATGGAGCAGTTGAACTGGTCCTTGTCCAGGAGCACCCCGGCTTGAGCCATCGTAGAAAACACCAAAGTACAGCTAGAAAGTGACAAACAGCTACTGCTTTGTTTACAGGAAGAAAATGAGGGGGCGTGGCCACTGAGGGTTTTAACAGTACTACTTCCAGTTTCTGTATCGACGGTCGGCAAACGACGAATGGGTGCTTTACCGCCACCAACTGGCACGGAGCGGGAGTGAGGCGAACAGGTTTATCGTACTGCAGACATTCTGGCTTGATGTTCAGAAATGGAGGAAACCAAATATTTCATTCGATTTTGCAAACTGTGTTGTAACGTTATTTTGGTTATTCTCTTAAACGAATTTAAATTATATATAAAGTCTTTAAAATTACTTCGAGAAAACAAACCATAAAAAAATATAATATTCCAAAGCAT